TACATCCCTGAAATTGAGATTGGCTTATCTGTGGGTGGATGTATTGATGAGTATATATGATAACACTTCTAAAAAGTACACGTAAAACATAGGTACAGTGGAACTTCTGGTCACAAATACTTCTGACTGCAACCAAATCAGGTTCTGACCCAAAAATCCACAACATTTTTGAATCGGGTTACGATTCAAAAATCGGGTAGCAAACAAACAGAGCTGTGGCAGATTCCCTTTCCACGCCAATTTCCCCTTCTGCACCATTTTTTTTTATAGGCGCATGCACAGTGTCAACTAAAAAGATACTCCTTTGCTCTTTTTAGCTGCCAGAAAAAGGGAGTGGGAGGAAACAGTGCATTCCTTAAGTGCCTGGATAATCACCCAGGCAGCCCAAAGTTGTCAGAGTGCAAGAAAATTATTGGAGAGCATGATTGATGACTCTTGGGGATGGATGTGTCCCATTGCAGAATACACAATCCAGGAAGTGGGGGGAAGACCAGGGTCAAGGGGGAAATGAATGATATATTTTAGTATCTGCTGCACCCAGCTAACACCAACATGGCCACTTCTAATAAATCAATTTTCTTTTCTCTGAGATGCGGCTAGAGACTTATGATTTGAATGAGGGTGGATTTGTTGGAGTTCTGACATGCAGACAGACTCGTTTCTGGTCACGACCAAATTGGGTTGCGACCAAAGTTACGAATTGCGGTCGTGACTGGGGGTTCCACTGTATTCTGTATATAATTGTGTATAAGCCTATCTGAGGAGAAGCAGACCTTTATCAAAATGCCATGTAAATTGTGCCACTATGGATAAGGCAATTGTGAAGGAAATAGAAGAAGACAAGCTGCAGCAAGCTGAAAAAAATGATAATATCATCAATGCAATTATGCAAAAATGCAGTTATGCGTGACAGGTGGAAGAAAGGTCCTTCATATCCTGTATACTATTTATCAGGTCTGGAATTTTAACTGAAGGAATACCTATCACAGACCTTGGAAGGGTGAAGGTAAAAGCTGAACAGCGGAGACAGAGAATTAATGGATTCAGAACATTTCTGTCCCCAGGAACCTAAAACTAATAAGGATACCATTGCAGGCAAAATAGATGTTTGTGCAGGTAAGATTATCAACCTTGATGCCAACCAAAACCAAGCATTTAATAGTGAGTGCCATACCATGTGCACTAATCAAACTGGTGGCAAGAAAGTAGGGGCAGGCAGGCACAACACAGGTTATGTAGACAACAAACACAGTGTCAGACATAAAGATCTCAAGTGCCTATATACAAATGGACAAAGTCTGGGGAACAAACAGGGTGAACTCGAACTACAAATACATGAAGGTACATATGATATAGTTGGAATAACATAAACTTGGTGGGATGAAACCCATGACTGGAACATACTGGTAGAAGGATACAAACTATTCAAAAAAACCAGACCCCATAAAAGAGGAGGTGGAGTTGCACTGTATGTAAAGGACCACTATATTGCTACAGAAATGCATGAAACCAAAGATGAAAACCTCCTAGAATGCATATGGGTCAATATAAAAGAAAAAAAGAATGACATGGCCATAGGTGTATATTATAGGCCACCCAATGAAGCAGAAAATATAGATGTCCCTTTTGCCAGCCAACTAACAAACATATGCAGGAAAAACAACAACAATAGTAATGGGAGACTTCAATTATCCTGATATCAATTGGAAAACTAATTCTGCACCAAGTGAGAAATCAAATAAGTTCCTAACCAACCTAGCTGACAACTTTGCTGTCCAAAAGGTAGAGGGTGAAACTAGAGGGACAGCCATACTGGACTTAATTCTTACAAACAGAGAAGAATTGATAGAGGGAGTTGAAACTGCAGGAACCTTGGGTGAGAGTGACCATGTCATACTAGAATTCAACATAACACAAACACAAGCAACAGAACATAAGGACACCAGAGTCTTGGATTTTAAAAGAGCTGATTTCAATAAACTCAGAGAGAACTTGGGAAAGATTCCATGGATGAAAATCCTAAAGGGGAGAACAACTCAAGAATCTTGGGAAACTCTAAAAAGTATGATCATAGAAGCCCAGACCAGCACAATACCACTGAGAAAGAAAAACAAGAAATCCAAGAAGAAACCAACATGGCTGCACCAAGATCTCTCTGGCAAATTGAAAGAAAAAAAGGACAAGTACAAAAAACAGAAAGGACATACAACTAAGGCAGAATATCAGCAGATAGCCAGAATCTGCAAAGATGAAGTCAGGATAGCAAAGGCTCAGAACGAACAAAGACTTGCAACAAAAGTCAAAGATAATAAAAAAAGTTTCTTCCAACATATAAATAACAAGAAAAAAATCAAGGAAACAGTCGGCCCACTAAAGAAAGAATATGTCAAGGAAGTAACAGGAAACAGAGAGAAAGAAGAACTGCTCAACTCATTCTTTGCATCGGTCTTCATGCAAAAAGAAACTATAGCTCAACCCACCAAAAACATAACTGTAAAAGACAGACCATAAATAAAAGTTAAAATAAGCAAAAAAATAGTAAGAGAACACCTGTCTGATCTTGATGAAAACAAATCCACCAGGGCCTGATGGATTACATCCCAGAGTTTTAAAGGAGCTGGCAGAGGTCATCTCAGAACCACTGCACCATATCTTTCAAAAATCCTGGAGCACCGGGGAACTACCAGAAGACTGGAAAAGAGCTGATGTGGTTCCCATCTTCAAAAAAGGAAAAAAAAAACAGACCCAGGAAACTATAGACCAGTCAGCCTAACATCAATACCCAGGAAGATACTGGAAAGGATAATAAAAAACAGATCTGCCAACATCTAGAAACAAGTAAAATAATAACTAGCAGTCAGCATGGGTTTGTTAAAAACAGATCATGCCAACCCAATCTCATTTCATTCTTCAACAAAGTGACTAAATAAGTAGATCAGCAAAATACTGTGGACATAATATATTTAGATTTCAGCCTGGCATTCGACAAAGTAGACCACAACCTACTTCTTAGTAAGCTAGAAAAAGTGGAATAGATAGCACCACCACTAGATGGACTCGCAACTGGCTGACTAACCGTACTCAATGTGTAGTCCTTGATGGGTCTAAGTCTACATGGAGGGAAGTAAGCAGTGGGGTGCCACAAGGTTCCGTCTTAGGCCCAGTACTCTTCAATATCTTCATTAACGACTTGGATGAGGGAATAGAAGGGGAACTTACCAAATTTGCAGATAATACTAAGCTGGCAGGAAAAGCTAACACCCAAGAAGATAGGCTCAAGATCCTGATGGATCTTGACAGACTAGAACACTGGGCCATCTCTAACAAAATGAAATTCTATGTAGAGAAAAGTAAAGTCTTACACTTAGGCAAGAAAAATCAAAAGTACACACATATAGACTGGGTGAAACCAGGCTCAATAGCAGGAACTGTGAGAGGGATCTTGAAGTCTTAGTGGACAACCAGCTAAATAGGAGCCAGCCGTGTGCAGCAGCTACTAAAAAAGCTAATGGAACCCTAAGTTGGATTAACAGAGGGATACAATCAAGATCAAGGGAAGTACTAATACCACTCTATAAAGCCTTAGTAAGATCACACCTAGAGTACTGCATTCAGTTTTGTTCACCACATTATAAAAAAGACGTTGAGATTCTAGAAAAAGTACAGAGAAGAGCAACCAGGATGGTTAGGAGACTGGAGGCTAAAACATACAATGAACGGTTGCAGGAAATGGGCTTGGCTAGTCTAGTAAAGAGAAGGACCAGGGGAGACATGATAGAGGTCTTCCAATATTTGAGGGGCTGTCACAGGGAAGAAAGGGTCAAGCTATTTTTTAAAGCATCTGTAGGCCAGACAAGGAACAGTGGATGGAAACTGAACAAGGAGAGGTTCAACCTGGAAATAAGGAGAAACTTTCTGACAGTGAGAACAATCAATCCATGGAACAGAAGTTGCCCTCGGAAGTTGTGGGAGCACCATCACTTGAGACTTTCAAGAAGAGATTGGACTGCCATTTGTCAGAAATGGTGTAGAGTCTCCCGCTTGGGCGGGGAGTTGGACTAGATGACCTACAAGGTCCCTTCCAACTCTGATTATCTGTTAAATCTGTTAAATCTGTATGGATATCAGCAGAGCCCTGAAGTCAACTAAAAAATACTTCTTTGGTCTTTTGGTTGCCAGCAGAAAGAGAGGGGTGGGGGGGAGAAAGTAGTGCATTCCAGAAATGCTTCAGATAATCGCTAGACAGCTGAAGCTGGTTGGCACACAAGATTATTACTGGAGAGCATGATTGATTACTCTTGTGTCCCATTAGAGAATATACATGTAGGAGATTGGGGGGAAGACCAGCGTCAAGGGGGAAATGAATGATGTGTCTTAGTGTCTGCTGCATCCAGGTAACGCCTACATAGTCACTCCTAATAAATCAATGTTTTTACTCTGAGAAATGCAGCTAGAGACATGATTTGAATGGGGGTGGATTTGTTGGAGCCCTGACACCTGATTTATTCCACATTTGTAATAAGGGTGGGCACCATATTTACAATGGCACGATTTCCTGCCAGCTCCACGATGGGAAGGGTGTAGCAAACATCTAGGTGGATATGATCTTAGTAACTTTGGCGCGTGTGTGATACGTTGCTTTGCAAGTCACCATTCATGGTCTCTATCTGAAAATTGATGCATTTTATGTGATTTTCTATATAAAAATAAAGAAATTGCCTTGAGACTCCAGTTGTCCCTGAGTTCTCATCACAAGTTCTCAGTATTAACAAGGGAAGCTCAATTAATGATATATATTTTCATCTTCAGGGCAGCCATTTGATCCTTCATTGCCATTGATTTATTCAGTCTCTAATGTGATGTGTGCTTTTAACTTGGGGCACCAGTTTGCACATGAAGATCAAAACTTCCAGAAGTTGGTTGAAAACATATTATGCACTGTAAGAATGACAGGTCGTGCTTTTCATCTGGTGAGTGATTTTTTTTTATACTAGAGCAGGGGTGCCCAACCTTTTCTATACCCCGCACCCCTTCTACGCTTCTAATATATTCTTGCACCCCTTACAAAAGTAAATAATTATATGCATATAATTATGCATCTACATTACAATTTTGAAACTTCTAAAACCCAAGGTTTTTTCAACCCACCCACCCCCCAGGAATCTCGTCTCACACCCTCTCGGGATGTGAGCACCCCAGGTTGGGAACCTTGCCTAGAGTCACTTCTGACAAGATGGCAGCATACAAGCTTAATAAATAAATAGATGATAGACAGAAAGATAAGATAAGATAAAAGATAAGATAAGATAAGATAAGATAAGATAAGATAAGATAAGATAA